AAACCTTGCCACGCAAACCCAACACACTTATCTTCTTCCTTTCTTTTGTAGAAGACAGAATTAATTTGAGAGTCAGGATATGACCATAGTGATAATGCAGAGCTCGTTTTAAACAGAAGACAGGTACAGTGAGAATGATCAGACAAGCTTAATAACAAGTATGGGGCTTTTTATGTCTCTCTGTTTATGGTTGTTTCTATTACAGTGTTGTGAAGTAGATGTTAAATTAGAGTGTGTAGCAGTTAATTCCATCATTCAGTCGTATTAACATGTTTAAATTTTTATATCCAAGATGTAGTACGTGCACTTAAAGAAGTGAAGAAGATTACAGAAAAATATTTACCCGTGTGATGCAAAATCTAAACTATTAGAGCACTTATGACAAATCAAAGTCAAGTCAGATGTCTTTAGTAGTTGTACAGGGAAAATGGTGATTTTTAAAATTCACGCAGAAATATTGGCCTTACATGTTATCATCTAAACGCTACTATGATCAATATAACATTAAGCAACATTCTGTCTTGTGTGATAGGGTGGACTGAAAAACAGCAAGCATGAATGTACACTGTCCTCGCAAGAATATATTCATGAATTGCGATCTGGAATTTCAGATGAAAAGCTTCTTAATTGTCTAGAGTCTTTGAGAGTGTCTCTAACTAGCAATCCAGTCAGGTAAGTAATAATTTCTGCTGTAGTTTTCATCATGCTGTTTTTCCTTAGCAATAAAGAGTTGTGGGGTTTTTTTTGAAACCACAGTAATTATGCTAATACTTGTTGGCACAAGAATGTAGTTCTCAGCACACTGGAAAAAGTGAAATGTTTGCAACTGTCTGCAATATTTTCTCACATTTCACAATGGTTCTCAGGAACTTGTAGTTGTTGGAACTAAGTGCTTATCTTAATGGTTGATCGGGTCTTCCTGGGAAGTGAGACTTAAAGCAGCGTCTGTGAAGAGATGTACAAGCAGTATTGGAGACATAACTTTGAAAGTTTTAAATTTGATTAAGAAATAATTAAAAGTACCTTTTTTTTTCCTTTTCCAGCTGGGTTAACAATTTTGGACATGAAGGTCTTGGAGTTATGTTGGATGTATTGGAAAAGCTTCTGGACAAGAAACAGTAAGGACGTGGATCTTTGGAAGGGAGGGGTGGGAATCTTGTGAAGATTTTTTGTACTTATATTGTCTTCCTCCTCCCTTTCAAGGCAAGAAGGTATTGATAAGAAGAATCAACATAAACTTATCCAGTGCCTCAAAGCATTCATGAACAATAAAGTAAGAAATATTTTAAATTCGGATACTTCTAGCATGATTGTTTTTTGTTGACTCCAAGATCTATGAAGCGTGTTGGATCTCAGAAAAGGAAGGAAAGGTTGTATATCCAGTATCAGCTGACTATTTGGAAATGTAGGTTGTAAACTTAGTGTAAATTTTTGAGTGTCTTGTTCATAAACATTCTGAATGTGCATTTTGTCTTAGTTTTGTTAAATATTATTGATTTTTGGAAGTAAAATATTTGGATAGTATTTGAATTTAAGATAAGTGAATTAGGAAATTAATTGTGAAATTGAAAGGAAAACATTTCTTTCTAAATTATGATTTCAATTCATGATTGTTTTTGTTAATATAATGTACTTTTCACCTGACTTTAAATTGAGTATGATTTAATATCTTTTTAGCTACGGTTTTTAAGTTGGTAGGTAGTGGGTAAAGGATAAAACTTTGGTCTAGTTGAAGTTGTATCTAACTTGTTTCAAACATGGGTTACTCATGTTCAGAAAGCGTGAGTACTGCTTCTAGAAATTGATGTGTTAAACTTGTAATTTTGCTTTATTCATAGCAAAATTCATAGCATATTCAAAATTCCACCCCCCCCACCCCGTAACAGATATAACTGTGCATTAAAGATACTTTTAAGTATTGTTACTCAGTTTAGTAAAGTCTCACAGCATAGCCTGTCTTGTGAAGTGGGAAAATTAAGCTTAAGTGGTCACATGCTTCCCCCACTATTCCTACACTTACACTGTAACTTCAAACAATTAGATAGCTGGTTTATCCTGTAGTTAATGAAAAAGAAAAATAATGCTACTTTTAAATAAATGCAATGTGTAAGTTTTTCTTTATTTAGCTGTACAGAACGTGAAATAGAATATACTATAAATAAGACAGTTGTTTCAAAAAAGAATTTCAAACTCTATAGGTCATTGTGTGGAAAATATTATTTTGACTTGCCAGCAGCTGTTACAGTTACAGGGAGAGGGAGAGGGGAAAAAAGTGAATTTTTCGTACTATTGAGGTGTTTCAGATATAGATAGAAAATAGAAACTGTTTTGTCTCTTGTTGGATACCTGATTTTACAAGATACAGTATCTTCCTTGGGAGCTGACTCTCTTTGCAGAAAGCCTCAAATGTAAGATCAGGAAGACTGAATTGTGTCCCCAAGCAGTAATAGTTGAAGGTTGTAGTAGAGTGTTGCCAAACTTCATTTGAGGGGGGGAGCGGATGTGAGGATTCCTAAGGATCTGAAGCCCATGATGATGAGTATTCAAGGCAATGACAATCTTTTCACTCTAAGCTTTTTGTTTCTTGAAGTACGGATTGCAAAGGATTCTAGGAGATGAAAGAAGTCTCTTGCTGTTATCAAGAGCAATTGATCCAAAGCAACCACACATGATGACTGAAACAGTGAAAATACTTTCTGCTCTCTGTATTGTTGGAGAGGACAATATGTAAGTAAGATATGGAAACAATTTTTTTTTTTTTAATGCTCATGAGTTTTCAGTTTGGAAACAGGTGAGAACTTGTCAGTGAAACAAATGTAGGCTGTTAAGTCTTTACTTTCTTAATGTAGTTTAAATGAAGAGACTTTTACCTTTCTGATGCATTAATCCGATATTAAATCAGACAAAAGCCAAATGACCAGAGATCTACAAACTGTGGCTGAAGTGGGAGGTCTGAAAGGATTGTGATTCTTCACCGTTAGAGAAGAGAGGAGTTAATCAGCCATAACTGTTCATAAATGGCTGTTGAAAAAAAAAATATATAAGTTATTTCATATATCCCTGATGAGTATGATCAGGAATTATGAACATTTAATTCTGACAGAGAAAGCTGTTAGATTTAAAGACAATGTAGAACAATGTGTGCTAGCATGGGGCACTACTGAGCCTATCGTAGAGGGGAGGATTGAGATTGGGACATCTCCTATGCAGACGGAAGATGAATTTATTATATTTGAAAATTACTGATTTGACAGTACATGTTAAAATGTTTCATTAGTTTAGAATCTAATATTCATAGTATAGAAATAAGCATATTTATGGATTTTATTAAAATATCATCTCTACCTAAACAAAGCAAATTTGAAAAGGGCAAAAAGTTTACATTTATAGCTAGAAGTTTTAAATAGTTCAAGTTATGGAGGTATGTAGCACATATCCATGAGCTTTTTAAAACAAAGATAATGAGTTGGCATACGTTTGCTTTGAATTATTGAGTGTCTTAGTTTAGTGAAGGTTAAAAATGGCAAACTCCCTGTCTTGTATGCAATAAATAAAAACATTTTGATTTCTGAAAAGACAATTTATTAGAATTTCCAGATGTCAAACAGGTCAGCTAAGTACCTCGTGTACCGTCTTGCAAAGGTGGTAATTTTTTTTTCTTCCTTGGTTGTTTCTTAGCCGAATGTCACAATAATTTAGAGATTTATTCACCTTTTTTAATTCAACGTTAATCTTGTAGATCTTCTAACACCTGGTTCTTGGTTTGTTTTCAACTTTATAAAGATAAGTGTAAATAAATGCATTCAGAATCTCTGTCAGTGCACTAAAGTCTTGAGTTGTGTAAATAGTGGGCTGAGTATCTTTAAAATGAGCAAGTTGACTGTGGTATGCTTTTTGACAGTTTGTCTTTCTCTCAGTCTGGACAAGCTTTTAGGTGCTATAACAACTGCTGCTGAAAGGCACAACATAGAACGTTTTTCTCAGATTGTTGAAGGGCTGGAAAACCATGAATTCTTACAACTGCAGGTGGGTTTACATTTTTTATATGCTTACTAAAACCTCAGAAATAATATAAAATACTTGAAGACTGTGTGTTATTTTATGATCTTTAAATTATTTACCAGCAAAGTCTTTTAGTGCTATTACTTCAGTGTTCAGTTAAAGAGGAAAATTAAATAGAAATGGCCTGCTGATACTAGAGTTTCTAATTGTTAACGGTGTGAGACCAAGAAACTCACTTCCTTGTCCCAAAAATAGGATTAAAAAGTCTTGACCTAATAAAAATAAAGTAGCAATATTCTTTTTCTTGGATGCCAGATGTAATGCTCAGGTAATAAGTCCATGAAAGCATTTTATTATCTTTGTCACTGCTTTATCCTCTTGACTGGTTTAATGGACCCATAAAGATCCAGCTCTCAGTCTGTCCTCTGAAATGTTTTAGTTTTTGGTACTGGAGCCCTGAGGAAGTTCGAATTTAAGAAGCTGGAGGCATTGCTCCCTGTATCTCTTTTGGGTTTAAGGAAAAGGAGGAAAAAGTACTCCTAAGTTGCATTGCTAGTTTAAACACCCCCCCAACTCCCCCACATTCTCCCCTGTCATGCCCCACTCAGAGTAAACAAAACCTCCTGTATTTATGGCTTTTCCATCAAAGTAATGTATTTGTAAAAAGACAAAACAAGTTTGTGTTGTGCTCTTGATGTGAGTATTTGAGTTTAATTTAGAACCACAACTGTAAGGTTTTAACTGAGCACACACTTCAAGTATCTTACTTGCAGTACCTGTGGCAGGAATACATTTGCAGTACTGTTCACCTTTTTGTAATATTATTGAATGAAAAAAAATAGATAAGCATAGATCCTTTTGAAATAGTGAAGTACTTTGAAGGTTTTTTGTACTGAAATTTTCTGGGGACGGCAGTCAAAAGTTTTATTTTGCTATGAAGGTTTTTGGTAACTTTCAATCTTTCTCCCTGGTAATGACAACCTAATGTAAATCCTAGCCCCTCTCTGGTCAATTGAATGGCTGACCTTTTTCTGAAAAATTAATGACGCAATGACCAAGTGACTGAGTATCCAACTAAAGGATGATTTTGACTTATTTCCATTTCATAGTACAGTTTTTATACAAATTTTGTATTGCTAAGGTACTATGGCTGAAAGATATGGGAAAGTAGAATTCAGGCAGGGCAGGTATACATGCATGGAAGGTATATCTTTTCCCATTTTTAGATCATATATGTGTCAGCTAGTTGTCTTAACGCTATGTTAACCATCAGTAGTTCTTGTTTCAGAGCTGATGAGTTAATGATGTTCAGTAAGTTTCTGTAAATGACAATCTAATCTTAATAATGCTATCACAAAAGAATTCATTTTGAAGTTGTCTCCTACTTTATGACCTTGTTGATTTAAAACAAACAAAACCAACCACACAACATTCCGCGTCCCCCCCCCCACCCAAACCTCACTTTTACATGAATAAAGATACAATTGCAAGACTCATTAACTTGTTTCTGACAAAATCGTTCTTTACTCGTATTAGCACAAGCCGTTAAGCCAGAGTCTCTTCAGGCAAAAGCAATCATAGCAGATGGCACCTCTTCTCTCTATTAATTTCAGATTGGACATGTACTTTGGCTTGTTAAGTCATGTCATAGTAGTAAAATAACAAGAATCATTCAAGCGAGCATGATGACACTACATTATCTGAAGATGCAGCTATATAAAGGGAGTGCCTTTGAAAGAGTGTTTTAATAGAAATTTAAGGCTCCATAAGGTGTTCCATTAAAACTAAATAGTGAATGTAATTAAAACAGGAAGGGTGCTTTTATCTTTTTTTTTTCTCTGCAGCTATTGATTTTTTTTTTCCATACTCTAATGCTACTTCTCTTTGCAGTTAACATCTTTTACCAAACTTGGTATTTCCCTGGAGTCCCATTTTAGTCTTTTAACGTGGATCAGCACTTTTGGCATTATGCTATTGTCTACCTGTTTTAAAGTAAATCAATTAAAGTGCACAGCTGTTCAATTAAAGCATTAGCCAGTATCCTGAGACTTCAGGCATTTTTCAAAAGTGCTGTGCAGAACTTGAAAAGACACCTGGTGATATGCAGTATTTTGTATCTGGGTGTTTTTGAGGTGGTTTTGTTGTATGGTTTGTTTTTTTGGTGTTTTATTTTAATTTTTGATTATTGGAAAACCAGGTTGTTTTCAAATTGGCGAATACTGAGGAGAAAGAGACAGTTGCAGTGTGGAACTGTAGTGTGGGAATAACTTTCTGAAATACAGTACGATCCTTTATGTGATAGAATTTTGACATAGCAGAGGCACTCACAATATGAAAACAGTATTCGATGTTGCTTAAATTAACCAAAGTTGTATTGCATGTGTAATGCATAATAAATAATATCCATTTCTTGACATTTGGTTTTATTATTAAACTGAAATAGTAAAAGACAATGTTTTCATTCTATAAATACTAAAAGTTTTTGCCTATATTTCTGATAACAGGTAGCATGTATGCAGCTCATCAATGCCCTTGTTACATCTCCAGATGAACTTGATTTCAGGATACACCTGAGAAATGAGTTTTTGCGTTGTGGCCTGAAGAAAATATTGCCTGTAAGTCATTTGTATATAGGAATTGATCACAGTCAATTGTTGAAGATAATGAAATTGTTTTACTGAGAGAAGCAGAAGTGAAAGATTGAGGGTGGGGAAGGTCAGATCTGGAAAGGACTATCAATCCAAATCTACTTTCATTCTGCATAGTTGCAAGTTTAGGCTCTCATTAGCTATGTAAACCAGAATGGTAGTTGAAACAAGACAATATATTACAAATTAAATTAGAGTAGTCAAATTTAGCATGATGAGCTCAAAGCACATGTAGTGAACGTGTGTCTGGCTGTGGAACCAATCTTGGATTAACTTTCTTTGTATATGCTGTTCCTGTTGTTTTCTGTGAAATCTGTTTTTCTTTAATCTGCCTTCTGAAAATGCATTTGGACTTTTTAAGGAAAAATCAAATCTACTCCTGCATTCTCTTTGAGACTGCATGTTTTCATGCAGCTGCAGAGAAGTGTGCCTTTATGGGAGTTGTGTATGAGTGTTTGGGACTTAAGGGTAGATTGATAGCTCTTAACCAAGAAACCATTCTGGTGCTTACATCAAGAATATGTATAATTAAGCTACTGAGCAGTTTCTCACAAAAGATGAGAGGAATTGAAGAGTACCTGCTTATATTTGTCTGAAACAGAATTTATACTGCTCTAACTCTTAAGATACAAAATTATTGAATCATCAACATTTGTCAGGAATAAAAACCTTCAGGTTTTTAGCACATTCAACTTTGAAGCTGTTTCTGATATGTGTATGTTAATTTTTGTAATTAATGTGATCCACTGTCTTTATGTGCTGTAGAATATCTGAAAGCCTGAAGAACTCTTAGGCTTTTTTTTAATCCACTGGAAGTTAGTTTATACAAACAATAAATGTTTGAAAACTTTAAGAATTGAGAGTGGGTTAGATGGCAAATAAACTGAATTTTAATACATCATGATAGAAAGCTTCATAGAGTGTACTGACATCTAGATACGAGTTTGAAAGCAATTCATATTTAGGGATAGCAATCTTTTCTAAAAATGTTGAACAGCTATTGTGTTGAAATTCTGTCTCTAGTAAGGTTAATGAATTATTTAAGCTGTAATATCAACTAATAGTCAAGATCATCTTGCTGTTTGTTTAGTTGTAAGGTGTTAATTACAGGGTACACATCAAACTCAAATCAATAATTATGCAGGGAATGAATGTCCAAGGCAGAGGGGTGTGGTGGTTGTTTTTTTTGTTGTCCGTTTTTTTCCCCCCCCCCCCCCCCTCCCCGCCCAGAAAGCAACTTTCTGAATGATAAAGCATTTTAAGAAAACTTCATGTCTATATCTGTGCTTAGGGGTAGAATTTTCAAGAAATTTTAAAGTAAGGGTTTCTTGAACAAAAAACAATCCAGAGGAGGATCCATATTTTTCTTTTAATCTGTCCAAATTCATAGTAGCCTTCTCTGGTTTTCAAACACTAGAATTGGTATGAATTTCTACGTTTCTAGGGAATATTTATGATTGCTATTCAGTTTGTGCACATCCAGTTATGAGAATTCCAGGCCAATTTTCATTTAAAGCACGGAGTGCATTCACACTAATGGCTTTTGAACTAGTTTCCTTTTTTTGTGATTTGCCTTGTGGGAACCTAAACTTGGTCCTTAAGTGTGTTAGAGAAATTACTTGTATTTTTTTAAAAGACAAACAAATTTTTCCCTGCTCCAAGTACTAATTTTTGTTTTGGTTATTTACTTCTCTTGTACGTATTTCTCAACGTACTCTGGATGTTTTTATTCTATGACCTAGATTAACTTAACCGAAGTTGTAAGTGTATCTTTACACTTCTTTAGGCTTCTTAAATTCACTTTCATTAATGTTTTGAAATATTCTTATGCTATTTTTTTTTGAAGAAACTCAGACATTAACAAGTATAAACTGCAGACTATGTCCCATTAAGAGAACTCAACTCAATTAGAAGGCTTCATGTTTGTTCTGCAGCCCATACCTGCTGTATTGGCTGATATTTTGCCTTAATTTTTCTCAGCTGGGCAATTATAATAAAAAGCCTCAGACACTGAGTTACAGCTTACTCTTGTTCCAAAGGTTAATTTCTTATATTTTGTCATGATATAATCTTTGAAGGGGAGCAATTCATGCTTTAAAAAAGGGAAAATTAAGATTTACTATGCCTTGAAAAATAGGGCCTGAAAGATAAGGACAATGAAGAGCTTGATATTCAGCTGAAAGTGTTTGATGAGAACAAAGAAGAAGACTTAATTGAACTGTCACATCGTCTCAATGATATCAGAGCTGAAATGGAATATCCTTTATAGAAATGGTGTTATAACTTGTTGCATCGTTTAATAACTTTATGAAACGTAAGTTAGAATGCTCTATGTGCAATTTGTCCCTGGTAAGATACAATCTTACCAGGGACTTTCTCAAGCACTTTTATTTCTGCTTTTTGGGGAAAGACTTATTTGGAAAATTAGTACTTAAATTTGCATGTCAAATGTAAGTCATTGGGAACTGAATTAATTTTTCATAAACAACACTAAGCTGAATTCTTGCTTGTAGTACATGAAGATAGAAAATTACACCCATGGAAGATTGCAAGTTTGAAGAAAAATGAGTTTTGATAACTAAGTTGGAACAAAAGTTCTAGTCTGTTCTGAAGCACTTAAGATGCATTCCTTCTTTAGTTGTGAAGAAGCGGGAAATTTAAAGTTACCGAAGTTCAGAATGGTTGCTTTCAGTTTTTAAGAGAGTAGTAGCTGGTACTTAAGAAGCAGAAGAAGGTAGATGCAATCAATAAGAGGAATATAAAATCACTAATGTTGTTGCATTACAGAACAGGTAGTTACAGGTAACTTTTCTTCATTAATTAAAATGTTTGAATACTGTGTATTTGCCAATAGCCTGTCTCACTTGAGAATGAAAATGAAAGCTTTCTGTGAAATTTACAGGTTTCTATGATAGGTAGTATGATTTTCCTGAGTAGTAATGAAACAAGTCTTAATTGTTGAACAGGGACAGAGTTTTTGTGGATAATCCTAGTGGAAAAAGGATATTTACTAATACAATAGTAGTTCAGAGTGTTGAAATGTTTTACTTGAACAATATAAACAATGTCTAGGGACCTGGGTTTGGAGTGGGTGGGTGTTCTATGGTGTAATGCGTTTTTTGCGGGGGTTTTTGTCTATTTTGTTTGGTTTTTTTTTTTTTTAATTCTTTGGTTTTAAGTCCTTGTTTCCTTAACAATGTTTGCACTGATGTGAACGAAGTATTTCATCTGCTGTATAATATGTTGAAAGATACTTCTTCTGAAAATTACTTCTTGTCAATTCTCCAACACTTCCTTCTCATCAGGAGTGATTACTATATCCGGTAAGTGTCAACTGTCTAGCTTGATTTTTGGAGGGAGTGGAGGGAAGAATAGAAATCCTGGTAAACCAAGTAGCTCATAATCATGCACAGATAGTTGCTCTGTAACTGACGTGTTGTTTGTCTTTCTGCTCACTGTTAATATTGAAAAGGTCTTGTTTACATATAATAATGCTTATTTCAAAGACTTGAACCTTATTCTGACACCCTCATCTCAAAATGTCTTAACTTGTTGAACCCTTTTTCCTTTAGTCAAGTTTGATAGCTTCATGACATCAAAGAACTGCAAGTTAGTTGTATAACTAATAATTGAAACTACTTCCACAGTGCCTTATATCTTGTCCTTTCAATGTAAGCTTCTCTTGTGTGCACCTCAGAGTGTCCTAGCAGTGTCAAAATAACAATACAAAATCTTGTTTTAAGAAGTAATTTTTTTTTTTTGTGCTCTAAAGGGATGATAAAAACAATTGATATGCAAGATGATAAAACCAAGAAGTAAAATATAACCTGAGAAATTGTCAATTTTTTTTAAATTTGAAAGTTTGGAATATCATCAGTTTAGATTTGAGAGTTTTCTACTTTGAGAGCTCTGTGAAATTGAGATGTACTACCTTGCACTGGTAAGAACTAATAATTTTGAGCACAGAATCCTCTCATCTTAGAGGTTTCTGATGTTGTGTAGAGATGTATATCAAGCAATTAAGTTAATTATTAACTCATTTTCTAAGTAACTGAATATTGGTACTGTTGCCAGTGATGGGATTCACTGTGTTGAGAATGTGCTAAATAATTCTTGCAACGTATATTGAAAACACTAAAGGTGTTGTTTATTTTATTGATTATTGTCTGGCAAATGATAAATGAGAAGTGCACAATATTTTGTGGAGTCCTGAACTTCAGATATCCTTCTGAGAAACTGACAGCGGTGCTTCATTAGCCAGAGTACAAATAAGACTTTTAAGTTGATCCCTTTTACTGCTAATTGTGTAATTCATATATTAGGAGTTAAAGTTGCCCCTTTCCCCCCCTCCTCCATATTGTGTAAATGGTTGTTCATGTTCTTATTATCTTGTTAAATGTTTTCTTTATTAGACCTCAGTATTACAAGATAATAGAAGAATGCGTATCACAAATAGTATTGCACTGCAGTGGCACAGACCCAGATTTTAAATATAGAGGAAGAATGGACGTGGATTTTACTCATCTTGTTGGTTTGTATACAATAAGCAATTTTACCTTGTTTTACTGAGGTGCACATTTTTCTTTGTATGCTTCTGTCTAAACTTAAATTGACTGAATATTTTGACTGGAAACACACATGTGAGCTACAGGTATACTTGTGGAGAAGGCCAGATCAAACTCTGCAGCCTTTGATAAAATTACACTGATGAAGTTTGCCTCTTGTGTCATGAGATCATAGGGTAATTATGGTTGGAAGGCACCTCAGAGCTGTGATACGTTTTATCTGACTTCCATGTGGTATTTTACTTAAATTCTAGATGCATGTGTGGACAAAGCTAAAGTAGAAGAGAGTGAAAAGAAAGCAGCAGAATTTTCCAGAAAAGTAAGTCCTAATCATTACTCTTTTTAAGGTATTGAACAGAAGCCTGACGGGAACACAGGAGGCTTGTTTCACAGTAGAAACTTAGTGGAAATGGGGAAATAGTGTATCTCACAGGCAGGATGTTCTTTCACCTTTAATAGCTCTGTGGGTTTGGGGTTTTCCTGTGTGCATACAGGACTCAGATTCAGTTTCCTCTGAATTCAAAAGCAGATGAATAGTATTAGTTGGACATAGCTTCAGCTGTAGATATCTGATGAGAAAAATTATTGATATTTTGTTCTGAAATACTTACAGTTAAATACCTAATGTGCAAGTAGATGCTTTAAAAAAAGGAAAAAATTGGAGGGAAAATGTTCATAACTTCATCTAGCTTTGTTTCAGAACCTGAAGAAACTTAATGAAAAGCAGTGTCATTCAATGTTTGAAAAAACATTGACGATTTAGGTGCAGAGATGCTGACTTTAAAATACTGTTTTATTTCCTTATAATGCCCATGATAAATTATTACGTTATGAAGGAGAGTAGTTTATTCCTTTATTATTCATGTTTAGGAATCTTACAGTGCATTTTGTAACCTGTTATGGGAACAGTTTTATTCTTCTGGTCCAGTTCTCTTTTATTAGGAACTTGATAACTAAGTCCTATTTTGGTCAAGGGTGGTTTTCATTTATTAGTAGATACAGGAGAGGTTAGACACTTAAAATTATTTCTGTAGGAAGAATTGCAGCTCAGTATATTTCTTGTAATAAAATTTTTGAGGGGTATTTCTAAAGAAATTGACGCTTATCCTTCTGCTTTATCACTGTTGTTGGACTTGATGATCTTAAAGGTCTTTTCCAACCATAAATGATTCTGTTGGTGTTTGTGCTGAAAATGTCTTGATAAAACATGTTTTCTCAAGCTATTTAAATTCCTGTTTTCTAGATCATGTTAATGTATAATTTGTTAATCTCAGCTCATCACAGCCTAAGGTTATGAAATGCTGAATGTGCTATATTAGCTGCAGTAGTACTAAAGTTCATATACCATGTTGTTGTGTATTAAAAGCATTCAAAATTTTGTTTTTTGCTGGTCTGGTCTAAGAAGCCTTTTGCAGGCCAAAAGGCAGTACATGTTCTTGAACCCGATGATTACAAATGTCAGTGAAAGGTTGAATGAAGTCATTACCTTTTTTCTTGACAATGTTAAATGTGGATGCATTTTTTCATAGGAGTTATGGTGTCGGAGTTTTATAGAAAGAAAATTGCTGGATGGTTCCCTGGTAGAGTTATTTATCGTAATATACTTTGTTAGTGGCAGTCAAGGCATGTTCTTCCTAGTGGTAACTTGTTTTGTCCTGTGGAAGAATGAATAACAGAAGTTTTTAAAGATGCTAATAATTAAGGCTAGCAACCAATAATAGGATTAAAATATACAGCAAATTTTTCACAATCACGTTGTAAACTGGACTTTGGTTTTACATGGGGACATAAGGACTAAAGAGATCACTGGCTTATTTGGATACCGCCTTTCTTATGTTACTTTATGGATGATACTGCTGAAGCTGCACACATCTCTTCAGATTTGAGCTTGCTACGTCAGATATATACTCAAGTTTAGTTTGAGAAATCTGCAGTGTTCTGCTGGGGGAGTGAAAAACCTGTCAAACTTAGAGCTATACGAAGTAGCTGGATCTGAGTGGTTCTGTCTCAGACTTACTGATGGAAGAAATTATGTGGTACTAGAAGAACACATACTGGAAAAATATTTTTTTTTAAAGTTGAAAGTGCATTTATTGCTCTAGTTAGGATATTGTTTAAAGAGTTCCTGAAAATATAATACCTAGTGTGGACATAAATGGACAAACACTTCTGTACTGGTTAATCATTACAGTTTGATGAAGAGTTCACAGCTCGGCAAGAGGCACAAGCAGAGCTTCAGAAACGAGAAGAGAAAATCAAAGAACTTGAAACAGAAATCAAACAGTTACGAACGCAGGTAATAAAACTAAATCGCAGTAAGTTTGACAGTTGAGATGAATTTTTTTTTTTTTTTTAAGGATTGAAAAGAAATTGCTCTGGACTATATTGTCTGTATGGAGTTTGAAATGTATGTTCTAGTTGTGTTGATTTGTTTTTAAGCCAGCATAAACTACTAAAGATAGTTAATGGAGTTAACATTTTTCAGATAGTAGTATATTCAACACCTGTCACAGATATGCTTTATTGAGGAAAAATATTGAAAAGTTTGAATCCAGCATGACCTTTTTTCCTCCAAGTATTTCCGTGCTTTAACATTACTACTTCTGTATGTTTTGCAGGAAGTGTTTGTGTTAGAAGGCTTTATACTTTAGTTGCAAATGTGGAAATCATGATAGCTGTGTGTGCACAATATACATACCTTTCAGCATGTGCATGGAACTGATAACATCAATATTTTTTTTGAAGTCTGAATATCAGACTGTAGCCATTTCTGCAACAAATATTACACTAGCTTTATACAGTCTCATAGGTAAATATAAAAAAAAATGCAAGACCTTATAGAGGGCGAAGGTGATACTTAGTTTCATCAAAGCTGATTTCACTTGCATTCATTTCCTCATGAATTTTGCTCACAAGCACGAAAACTGTATCTCCAAGTGATCTGTTCAGGATCACTTGTGAAGCAGAGAGGACAAGAAATGCTGCCTGTTGAGCCCTCATATTATCTCTTGGGTTCCTTTTGTTTAATGACCATGAACTGAGTTTTAGACAGGTCTTTTATACCCTTTAGGAACCAACAGATACTGTGGCTTGATGCTTTTGCCTCAGCCTGGCGTATTTCGTACTCCTTCAATGCTAGGCAAGGTCTTCCTGTTGCCTTTCTTCCTTACTGGGGATATCTTAATGCCTATGGTCTCACTTCCTACATTGCATTTAACATGTACATTGCATCCTTTGATATCACTACAAGTGATACATTGTTGTAACCTTTGGTGTCTTATGATTTCTTACTCTGTTTTCACACACAGACACTTCTGTTCATACTTTGTTCTTGCCAATTTTAATGCTTGTTACAAAGATCTACAAGACAATGTAACACTGAAATTTGACAGTCTGTTTTAATGAGTTATCCAGCAATTGTTGCATTACAACTTGTGTGGTAGTTCATGGGTCAAACACATGCCTTGTGCAAAGCCAAATAATTAGTTTTAGTCTAACTAATTATTAATCCTGTTATATTGATTCTAACAGTTCAGATTATCTGGATGTTACAGTTCATTCACAATAATGGTACAATTAAAAATAGTACACATTAACTTTCTAGTATCTATGCCTTTTCTCTAGTGTTGTGCTCCCCATACAGTATATTGTGGCACTTATTTTTAGAGGCACTGAGGTTTTTTCTCAGCTTGATTTTTTTTTTCAAACTCTTCCTTCCTTTAAACTAGAAACAATAAAGAATTGTGTAGG